AGTGCCGAAAAAACTGCAATGTCAACCTTGTAAGGCGCTGGAATGCCAGCATGACGGAAAAACAAAACCAAGAGCAGGGGGTACATGGCAGGACGCACTGCACATTCATATAATTAATCATCACACGTTACTTTTTTTTTTAAACAGTAACTACCAAGTTTTCTAAAAATTCTAAACCTGATGACAATAAATAAAACTTCATATGCTGCCTTTTTTTTGTGTATTCTTTTTTTGTTAAGCATGTTGTGATGAGAGAGAAAAAAGAGAGAGAGGGAAATAGAGAGAAAAAAGAAAAAAGGGGGAGACAGAGAGAGAGAAAAGGAGAGAAAAGAGAGAGGTAAAGAGAAAAAGAAGAGGAGAGAAAGAAAAAAGAAGAGAAAAATGGGAGAAAAAAGGAGAAAGGAAAAGGAGAGAAGAATGAAGAAATAGAAAAAAGGAAAGAAAGAAGAAATAGAAAAAGGAAAGAGGAGAAAGAAACAAGAGAAAGAAAAGAGAAAAAGAATAAGAGAAAGAGAAAAGGGAGACAAGAAAAAGAGACAAGAAAAAAGAGAAAGAGGGAAAGAAAGAAAAGAGAAAAAAGGAGAGAAGAAAGAAGCAGAGAAGAGAGAAAAAAGAAAAAGAGAAGAGAAAGAAAAAAGAGAAGAGAAAGAAAAGAAAGAGGAAAGGAGAGAAAAGAGAAAGAAAAAAGGAGAGGAAAAAAGAGAAGAAAAAAAAAGAGAGAAAAAGGAGAGAGAGAGAAAGTAAAAGAGAGAAAAAAAGGAAAAATAGAAAGAGCATGTCCCCCTCACCACCCACCTCTCCCACCACTACCGGTTGCAGCTCAGGCCCACGGCAGCGTCCGGCAAAGGGAGGCAGTGACACCCCAGCAGTAGCGCCTGCCCAGACCCCAGCCTCACCCACTCCAGGGGCCCGGCAAGGCTGGAGGCTGCAGCCTGGGGATAGGGGGCAGGGTCGGCAGAACAAAGACAATGCCATCCCTGCCTGCATTCTTCTGACCCACCCCCTGGTGCCTGCCACCATGCTGGGACCTCTGGCTGCTCCGGAGAACCCAGAAGAGCAGCTACTTAAAAAAAGTTTGTTTTTTTTTAAAGCAATTTCCTGGCACACCTCCTGGAATGCCAAGGAAAATGTCTGCACATGCCTCTAAGTGGCACGCATGCCAAGGATGGCCCATCTTTGTGCTAGGTCATTCCTCAATACAGTCTTTGCCAGCATGTCACCTGTGTGCTCACTGGGCTACGATATGAGGCTTGACTCACTAGTAGCATGATTCTGGAGCTTGTTTCTTTGGGGTGCGATTTCCCAATGACCAAGTTTTTGGTCTGGCTAGATGGGGACACTGGGTTCAGGTCTCTATAATCAGGATTGATTCTTTTGTTTTTAATCAAAGACTGCTCAATTTGAAATGTATAAGCAGTCCAGGAATCTCTTGGTGAGTCTCCTAACTACATGGCTACAGAATCAGGCTACTTCCTCCATAACTCTCATTTTCCTATCTGCACAGTGGCTCAGCTTCAACAGCGAAGTACAATGGCCCCTTTGCCCCACCTCAGTCTATCCATTTGCATGGTTGTTCAGACACTCTCCCATGAAGTTGGAAATACAGATTAAATCCTTTAGGCTGGGGAAGAAAGGTGTGCTGGTCTTCTAGACATAGCCCTCAGTGGTATACCCAAGGTTCAACGTGTGGCACAAAAACCACTTTAAATGCAAGCCTCTTAAATCCAGCCTGGCAGCTAAACCACTGAGCTCTCATTCCTTTGGGGCGTCAAGTCCTTCAGACTTCTCCAGAAGATGAAAGTTTCACATTGCTCCACTTCCACATTCTCAGCAGAGTAGGACAAGCATACAAATCATCTGCTCATTTGATACATTCCCCTCCCTCCACTATTCCTCCCCTCCTACAGAAAAGACACTTACTATGGCTATTTTATAGGAGTCAGTCAACCATTGGAAAGACAGGGCTCAAAATGCATGGGTTTGCGAGTAGGGCCCTGGTAGGGAAAAGAGAGGTGTGCAGGGAGATCTGACCAGCAAAACTCATTTCAGGTCACAACGGGCAAACAGAACAGTTCAGAAGCTGTTCTGAAGACTGGGCAGATATTGAAGAATTTCACCCTGAGCATCTAGTGACAGTGTGTACATATGACCCCAACACACATGCAAATTAAAAAAACTCTAGTCTTATGAGCACCAGACACATGCGCATTCTCAGTGAAAACCACACAGAGAGCAAGAGAAGCCTTTTTAAAAAATATCACCATAAAGGAGTTGAAGTTGCAGAAATCCTTGTTCCTCATGCCTTCATACTCAGACTAAGAGTTTAATTTCCAGAAATATTTAAATATTGGAAACCCAGCAAATGAACATGAAAGATCTTCTCACAAGAACATCAGCCTTACATATAAAGCAAATGTCAGAAAAACCAGGACACCGTGAAGCCAAGATGACTCTTTCTTCATAACACAACCTCTCTGTCCCTGGAAGTATCTTACTAAAAAAAACCTGTCATTTTGAAGCCTTATGCAAGTCTCAATCAGGACCTCTAACCAAATACCCATGTGAACCTTCGACATGCTCTGTGCCTCACTGGTACTCTGGGAAACACTTCCTGCTGCCTGCCAAATATTTGAAGAAAAAGACTGACGGACAGGTAAGGGACTATGATCTTCCTGAGGCTCCTCAAGAAATAGCCAAGGAAGTGAGATGATTTCACGGATCATTTCACTTTTATTTTCTCTTAACTGCATCCCCAGTTTAAGTCAGAACTGTTTGTATTTCTCTTTGCCATATATCCTGTTGATTTTTGTAGAACAGTAGTTCTACTCATCACTGTCTTTGCAGGAATAAAGGATCCATCTGTAGGGTGATGCGTTTGGGAACTTTTTCCAGTTTGTTGATTTTTGCATAAGTTTTAGAGTAACATGGGGACTGACAGTCTGTTGCCATATATCTTATTTGTGCAAAGTGACATCAGCTCATTTCTGTTGTGATTTAATTCATTTGACACCATTAGGACACTAGAGAATGTGGTTTACAGCTTGTGCTAGTTCTCTTCTTTTTCCATGAATGTTCTCAGAAAATAACAGCATTACACACGCATGCCATGCTGCCTCGACTGCCGCTTCTGTCAAAAGGGTTTTTTAATTCTATGTATGGGTTTTAACTTATATGGCATTACAAGGCTTCTTCTGCAACAGTCTGTGATAGTATTTGTATAACTCACATGTTCTAGATTTGAAGAGGGAATTGCTTCCACAATTGTTGGTACAGCTGCTGCTGTCAAAACCTTTTATAACTTAATTAATGAGCTTTATATATAGAAGCTATATATATAAAGCCAAGTCATCCCATCGTGCAGTTTTGCCAGTGCCTACGTATATGGTGCAGATGAGCACAACTTTTGCTTTGATATACAGAGGAATATAGTGGGAAGAGGTCCCAGTGGATACACAGGTTGTCATCCCCAGAGGTATAACAATATGCCTGGTACCTAGGGCAGGCTGCCACACATGGGCAACAGGAACTTTTGGTTACCATCATGCCACTGGCAAGATCACACAGCTGTAGCAGCATCCATTTTTTTCTACTCCCATGCCCCCAGGTCAGAGTCTGGGGCAGCTGCCACAGTTACTCCTCTGCCCTAGTTATGCCACTGGCTATCCCCTAAAAAGGGAAAAAATATGAAGATGCTATGGACAGTGGAAATTCCTCCCACCCTCCTCTCTGCAAGCTCTGTTTGTGAACTCCTGAGAGATCACAAACTCTCTTAGCAACAGTGCCTTTCAGTCCCCAAATATACCGGAGTACAACAGCAGCGAAGAAAAAGCAGCAGCAGTTCTAACCCCTATCCCAGAATACTAAAGATCCACATATTTAATAACACTGTAACAATGGAAACAAGCAGCAGGTCCTTTCTCTTCCTTTTCAAGGCTTGGAGCATACCTGCTCTAAAGCAAGTAGATGGGAAGGGCAGATAAAGTGGCTGCCTTCTAAGGACAGCCTCATTTTTCTAGGGGCTCACCTAGCCACTGAACTTTGAATGCAGCCCACTACTGATGGAAAAACTCAGAGAAGCACCTAGATTAAGATAAGGAGGAAGCTTTTGTAGGATC